TGGGAAGGTGGAAGGGACGATTATGATGATTTAGATGGTAACTTAATTATGGATACTCGGTCGAGGACGACCTTCTTTAAAAGGGGGGGTACTGTTACGGAGTTGGAGGAACTAGGGGTTGATCACGTGTAGCGCAGCATGTAGTATGTGTCACGTGCGCGCTGCTGGCATCCTGTATTTAAGCTCTCGTTCCTCTGGAACTCTCTTCCTTCCTCACTTTGTTGTTCGCTCAATACAGCAGTTTCCGTTTGACTCCGTATTCATCACAGCAAGCAGTGGTTCACTCCACACGGTTACACCTAGAAAGGTGTTTTGTAGTTTAAAATACTAGAATATATTCTTTCTAATTTCTATATTTATATATAAAAGGATTAACTAAAGTATAATTACTCTAGAGAATTCAAGAAAGAGAATTAAGTATAGTAGATAAAGGTTTAAACGAAATCATTTGTCGCGATAACTAGTGAATAGTAGTACTAGAATCTACCTCCTTTTTTGTTCCTGTCAGGATATTTTCGGATTCATTTCCAAGCGAGACTGAAGCGAGAATAGGCGGATGATTGTTTACTTAGTTTAAGGGGGGATGTTTCTAAACAACAGAAAACGCGCAAAATATTGTTTCAACTTAGAAAAATGTTTATTTAAGCGTTTGTAGTTGCTCTTTGCTTATAGCATACAGTTCTTACCTGTACCTGGTCTGTGTGTAGTAGAACATTCATGCTAAAGGAGTGAATTTACCTTTGGTCGCATAGTTTTTTCTTTAACCACTACTATTTCTGTACACTTCTGACCTTTTCTCTTGCTTTTAATCCTTGTGCCTCCTCTTTACTATTGTAAGAACGCCCTCACATTCCAAATACGTAACGCAAAACTAATATATCATTTTAATCTAGATTCGCAGATACAAATACGTACATCTACATCCACAATGGCTTCGAGATCTCCAACCATCGCAAACCTCCTCAACCCCTCCAATCCTCCTCCAAACCCTCCTCCTACTCCTCCAAAGAAGCAACCACCACCAAACCGGCGGCTGCCAAAAGCTCCCAAAGCAGAAGGACCCGTCCACCCCATCCGCATCGATATCACCGTGGAGGGGTACGACGAACCTGAGATGCACGTTTGAATGGAGGTAAACTCCATTCTACATGGACAGCCACCGGTGCTGCAGCATCGTGTAATGGAAAGGGTGCGATTTCGGGTACGGAAGCTTATGAGCCGGTTGGGAACGAGACTCACTGTTACGTGAAATTCCCCTGCATCCACCAAATGCATCCTTTTTACCTGTATTTGCTCTCCATTTCTACAATGACAACCATTTTATATTATCCCTGAGTCCCTGCAACGGAATGAGAGCGGAAGCAGAGAGAAACTAACAGAACTCGTCTGGAAATTAGTTACCCATAACATCGTTATTGTTGAAATGCTCGGGCGTTATATGCGAGGAAGACATCAGCGAGAGATTAGGTTCCCGATGGGGGTGATTTCTGCGGCGGAGGTTTCAAACCGGCTGACGACAATAATGGTTTACCGGGGGAGATTGAGCGTGAGGGTTAGGTTGGTGGGTATTGTTGGTGCTGTTGACGGTGCTGTTGGCAGTGCTGGGGGAGGGGGGGTGGAGGAGCAGTAGCGGGTGGGGGCCCAATGAGTTGAGAGAGGCAGCGGGATTGGGGATGAATGTATATATATATTCTGTTGTTGTTGCGGAGGACAGGGGGAATACGGAAAGGGTGATGTGTTGTGATGGGGTGGGTATATATATTATCCGGTTAGTGTGGTAGATAAAAGGGGATATGGGGGGATGATGGGGAGGAACATTTCTTTGCTTTTGTGGCGGTTATTTGGGCACTTTTGGTGTCAAGATAGAGTCCACATCACACTGAGCAGAGGAGGCAGTAATAAAAATCACTATTATATATACATATACAGTCTTGTAAGCCAATCCGTTTAGTGTATGCGTTGAAACTGCTGATTTAAGTCTACAAACGGCCTGAGCCCTTTTGCCTAAGCGCTGCCCGCTCTTGAGATACTTTCTCGTCCTCCCACATTGGTGCCCTTCAGGGCCGCCCTGGTGAGTCTCTTCTGCTCGCATAATCCCCAAAACAGGCAGCTTATATTGAGGTTCTCGCGTAGTCCAGCAGGTACACTCTGCCATCCTATGGTTCTCCCCCGCAGCCTGCGCTTGTAGCCAGTCTCTGATCAAGGTGCCCAGCTCTTCCAGTACCCATATTGACCTTGACGGCTTCCACCATGTTGTTCCTGTACAGTACCTCCATCTCCTTCTCGTCTTGCTCATGTCCCTCTAACTTGTGTGCGCTTCAAGCGGCTTGTGTTTTGATGTCGTTGAAGGAGGTAGCCAAGGCTCTGGTTCAAACTTTCCAAAGGGTAGTTGGCATGTAATTTGGGTGGTGTAGCTCCAAACAAGAGCAAAAGCACTGAGCATAGATTGTTAGCAGAGCTTCAAACCCTCTAAAATCAAGTTGCCATACCAAAAATCGAAACGCAGGCGTCTTTCTTGTTCTGGCTACAAGACGCTACTAGCTTTCATCATCATCGTCACTGTGGCAGTCCAATGTACCCGCCCTTGTGGTTTTCATCAATCTAGATCACTATGGCTTTCTTAAGCCTTTGAATTAAGCCGAACCCGAGGGCATACGGTACTACTGCGGATTAAGTCTACAACTTAGCCCTAAGCTCCTAGCTTGAGCGCCACTTACTCTCACTCTTGCAAATGCCTTTCGTCTTTCCATTTCGGTATATTCTCCAGGTCTATCGTTACGAGGCTCAAAGCCTCGCTTGAAGAGAGAGAGAGGGAGAGATAGCAAGCGCGGCTTAAGCTTCAATGGCGAAAGCAAAGTTGTTATCTGACGGGAGGATAGGGCTAACTGTAATCTAACCCCCTCCCACTCCCCTGGTCGTTTTACATCAAAGCTACAAGAATACCCGAAGAAACATTATAGCCCTCCACCTGTACCCTTGCTCACACAAACATTCCATGACCTTCTATAGACCTCGTGAGCTGATCTCGCACTGTAAAAATCATGTTTGTGGATCAATCATACAGGGATAATAAGTCTAATGTTGCCAAAGATATATCGTAGCAGTCCGAAATAGGCTAGAAATGAAAAAATGAGAAGATATTTTGCAATGGGTTTCCTTGTATATTGAAAGGCTAACTGAATCGAGACTGGACTCGGCTATGATCAAAAAGTGAATAACTGATCCACCAGCATCTATAAATTTCTGCTGACATACTCCCACAACCTTCCCTTCAACAACACCCCCTTCTCCTCCTCTTCCATCCTTCCCAGAAACTGCGACAACCAGACAACCATGGCTGACATTGATATGCCACAATACCAACAAACCGAGGAAGCTGAGCAGCCCCTCGTACTTCCTAACATCCTCAACAAACACGCAGATGTTGTTGGTGGTCTCGTCGAAGCATATTTGGACAAGCTGCATCCAGTGTACGTATTCATCTCTCCACCTCGACTCAATCTGTCATCCTTTGACAACTAGCTTACCTCAATTTTAGCATGCCTTTCTTCCACACCCGAACTCTCAACACAGCAATGAAAAATCAGCTTCACAACACCAATTTCCCTTTCGCTGTTTGCCTCCTCGCATTATGCACATTGGTAGCTTCTCGTATCAACGATGGAGCATTCGCACTCAAAAACTCTCTCGATCCTAACCTGGCAGTGCTGTTTCTTAGTGTCAGCGAGCAATACGACCCGCGTGACTTTCGTACGATTGTTGGGGGAGACAGTTTATTGATCATTGAATGGATGCGCGCTTGGGTTCTGCTGGCATTGTATGGTTTGCAAATTGGCAGTTCATATGTGGTTCACAAATATCTGGGTTACTTCACCACCATGGTAGCATGCCATCGTCTACATGACGAACGCTATTGGCCCTCAGTCTGGACACTTGTTGAAATTGAAATGGCAAGACGTCTGGTAAGCCCCCATCAACTTTTGATGTTTTTTACTTGTCGTCTAACATTTGTACCAGATCTGGGGTGCATACATGATCGAGATACAATCATCAGTCGTCTTTGGCTCGATGCCACGTCTTCGAGGAAGACAAATGCGCGTCTTTTTGCCAACCCAGGTTCGGATCGATGCAATTATCGGCGGAAATGGTTACAGCACAAAAGTCGTGCCTGGCACTCCCCTCTCTTGGCTTAACCCTTGGAATCGAACGGTTGAGATCTATATCTTGATGGAAGGGGCCGTAACAATGAAACAACCCGTCGACCAGGCAGAAATACAAAAGCTGCAGAAGGAAATCGAGGCCCTTGAACGTAAATGCCGATATGAGGATCCTAGCCATCTCGCTTATGACACGGAGCTGGCCTACGCAAACTTTTACACGGCCCAATTTATGGTAGATGTCTGGGCCATGAAGGCCAGTCCACTGCCTGCTAATATCACGACTCTTCGGTTTTATGTTGGAAGACTTCGTAAAATGTCTACAGTGAGATCGGCCTGTCTTTTCGCACCAATTCTACCTCTCATTGGCGGACTCGGCTCAATTCTCGCAAAGATGGTCCAAGGCAGTCACAAATACACTGTATGGTGCGAAATATCTAACCAAATGTACGTTGTCATCCCCTCCGCCCCAATCATCATTGAAATCTAACATATATAATAGCATCAGCCTGGGAGAAATCATTGAAATCCTGCCAAAATCCAACAATAGCCCTCTTATGGGCAAGGCAGATGCAATCAAGGTTTTTGGTAGTGAAGCATACAAGTGGTGCCATAGCCAGTACTGGTTCCCGTGGAGAAAGCTGCCCGAAGGCAGTTTTGGGCAAAAACTTAAGGATAAATTGCCGCTGAACCGTGATAAAGATCCGATTCTTAAATTGCCGACTAATATGACTGAGGGATTGGTTTGGCCTTTGGAGGTCTGTGAGGGAGCGAGATTAAATGATTTCGAGTTTTAGAGTAGATTAATCTTTAATAAATGACTCGCTTTTACGCCTGAAATTTGAATTATATTCTTTAATTAAAGATATAAGATAGTAGTAGCTATTAATAATGAGTTTTATATGAAAATCTCGAGGTTTACGCGTGTTTTAAATTCTATCTAAATAAAGAAAAGTAAAATACCTAGTTATTATACTAAATATATTAATAAAAATATATTATACTAGAAGTTATAAATAATCTACTTAATCATATAAACTAGCTTTAGTGAAAGTAAATTATAATAAGTAAATATATAGAAAGTATACCATAATTTATATACTTAATCTAATTAGTATAAAATCTTAGAATAATTTATTCTAAATTCTAAAGTTTATATATTAAGTAAAAGGTTTAAAAGGTAGATTATGAAGAGGTTTTCTATACTTTATTTAATTATTTAACCCTTTTTAAAAAATCTGATAAGCTATAAACTTTTACTTTAGTAAATAAATAACTAGAAAATAAAATTTTCTAAAGAAATTATATATTAACCTTAATTACTAAGAAGACTAAAATAATTATATTTTCTTAGTATACTTATACAAACTTTAATATTAATTTTAGAATTATTTAACTTAATAAAAATCTATACTTACTTTCGAAAATCTTTTTATTTAAACTACTATAAGTAATAGTAATCTTTTAAGTACCTTTAAATAATTAGTTAACTAACTATAGTCTTAAAAGTATATAAAAACTTAAATATAAGTATTAGTATAAAGTAATTAGGTTTATAGAATATACTTTAGCTAAATTTATAAAAGAATTAAAAGGTTATCCTTTTTAATATTAGTTTGTAAGTATTAATTTTCTTAATTCTTAAAAAGACTTTAATTTTTCTAATTTATATTGGAAAAGAACTAAATAATATCTTTATATTAAATGTTCTTATTTCTATTTATTAAAACTAAATCTCTTAAGCTTATTAAAGTTTAATATTACTTAATTCTATATAAGAAAATCGCTAGATAATATTATTATATTAACCTAGATTTCTTATTTCTACTAGTAAGGAAAAAGCCAAATAATATTTTAATATATAAGTTCTCTTATTACTTTCCTTATAAATTAACTTTTCTAACTTTACTAAAGAATAAATTCTATTAATTTTAAATAAATAAAAAACTAATTAAAATATATAAAGAGATTTTCTTATATAGTTTTAACTTAAATTTAATAATTTAGCTTTATTAAAAGATAACATTGATTTATTCTTTATAAAATTATAAGATAATAGAATATATAAAAAGAATTACTCTTATAATCTTTCTATTAAAACTAAATTTCTTATTTATAATAACAATTAAAATATGTTGTTCTTTATAAAAGAAAACCTAGAATATATATAACTTAAAGTTTCCTTATTATTGTCTATTAAGAATACTTTCTTTAATTCTAATAAAGATTAATCTAAACTATTTCTTAATAAGTAAAGACCTAGAATATATTAATATATAATTTATATTCTTATCTTTTCTCTAATAAAACTAGGTCTTATAACTTTAATTATATATAATAATTAGTAAATACATGTAAGAGAAAAAGTAAATAATATGTAAATAGATTTATTTAGTTCTTCTTTTATAAGTATAAATTCTCTAAAGTTTATTGGTTATTATTATTTACTAATTATATTTTATAGAAAAGCTTAAGAATTATAGAACGGACTTAAGTAGATAAGGCTACTACTTCTTAGGCTCTATAAATTAATCCCTACGTATTAATCCTTACGTATTTTATAGGGTATTTATACTAAAGTTTAAATAAAGCTAGATTTTAAACGGAAGCTAGTTTAATTATTACTAAAAGTAATACTAATTCTAGCTATTTTAAAGGCGTTCTATATATTAACTACTAATAATAACTCTTATAGAATATACTAGTATATTTTTTATATAATAGGCCTACTTTTATATTATATTACGTTAAGAAAGTACTAGTTATTCTAGTTATTCTAGTTATTTTAAAGGTGTTCTATATATTAACTACTAATAATAACTCTTATAGAATATACTAGTATATTTTTTATATAATAGGCCTACTTTTATATTATATTACGTTAAGAAAGTACTAGTTATTCTAGTTATTCTAGTTATTTTAAAGGTGTTCTATATATTAACTACTAAAGTAATAATTCCTACGGGATATACTAGTATACTTACTATATAATAGACCTAACGTGCATGTATAGCGAACCGGCCAAAACCCGGCGACCCCACTGTCACGAATCACGTGTTAGCATGTGACGAGTGAAGACCAGGCGGCGTCCTGACAGGTTAAGCACTATCATGCTCTTATAGCGAATAGGGATCGGCTAGACTAGCTAAGCGATCGAAGGATTTCATTTGTATGTAGTCACGTGATGGATCTTGGGATCTTGAGGATCCCAAGATCCAGGCAAAGGATCTGGGGGATCCCCAGATCCACGGGGACGAAGGTTCTATATAAGACTGGCACGTCTGCCATTAGATAGGAGCTTCGTGCTCAACTTAGTTATCAATCTTATCATATTAGTTTGACATCTTTGATACAAGTAACGAGTTCACTT